ATTGTTTTCTCTTGAAAAAAGAAGAGTTAGGGGTTCTGATTGTGTTTAAGATTGTAAAGGGAATTGATAGTGTTGATGTATCATTTTTTTCTATATATAACAGTGAGAATAGGGGACACAAATATAAATTTTGGCAAGGTAGGAGTCATCTTCAGCTTAGACAGTTTTATTTTTCTAACAGGGTGGTTGGCCTTTAGAATGGGTTGCCTTCAGACGTTGTAGAGGCAGTAAATTTAAATGAGTTTAAGAAAAAGCTTGATAAGTATATAAGTGAAAAGGGCTGTGTTTAAATTTTTTTTATTTTATTTTTTTAAAATCATTTTAATTTAGTTTTGAAGATGGAACAGCCGAGATGAATCAATAGGTCCCATGTTGTCCCAAAATATTATGTTACGTTATGTTAATTACAACTGAGTTCCATCTTGTGGATGTTGAAAACACTTTTCTCTATCTCTAGTAATTAAAGGTTTATAAAAATATATCAGCATTTTGACTTCTGTGATTGTTTAATTCAAATTTCCAGATATCTTTACTTGTTCATGAAAAAATGTTGTTGCAAAATAAGATGTTATGTAATGCTCTGTTTGTTAGTTTTATCAGTGTTTAGTTATTCTGCTGTTAATTTGTTTATGGCCTCTTGTTGAATAAAGAAAGGGTGTCTTTTGTTGTAGCCAACATGGGAAGGTCGAGGCTGGTTGATACCTTGGTTTGGAACCAATCCCTGGTGGACAGCAATAGCAGCTGTTTTTCCTGCTCTGTTGGCAACCATCTTAATCTTCATGGATCAACAGATTACAGCTGTCATTGTTAATCGAAAAGAAAACAAATTAAAGGTTGGTTAAGATTTATTTGTAATATAATAAACAGATCAAATAAAAAACTTGGAACTATGAATGTGTATAATTGATATTTTTATGTTCTTAAGCTGACCATACAAAATTACTTCTATGATTTTTTAGTCTGTAATCATTCCAAACTCTTTCTTTATTGTAGAATTGGATAAAACAAGGACAACTGTATGTTTCACAAATGTTTCATTTATTATGACCATGGCTTCACCAATAAAGGCATAATCTTCATTGTCATAAAGAACTACACCTGTATTCCTGGATTAATCATCTAGAGTTGTCCATTTTCATGTATCCTGAACTGTTTCCTTATTATACTTGTGGTCGAAATTCAGAATATCACATTCAGTATTCTTGTACTGATCATCACAAATTTTTCTTGTTTAAATACTAAAATAATAATAATTTAAAAACTGTGCCTATAATTTCTAGACCATTCCTTTACTAGTGAGGACTAACTATCTAGGAATTTTATTTTCTACAGTTTTGGACTAATTGTCCAGAACTGTTTTTTTTTTAGCTATTCTATTAAAACTATTCCTTCGGTATTGCTGGACTAATTAACAACATAAATTTTAAGGACAACAAGAGACCTGTTCTCTATCTAGGTTCTCCCATTCACTAAACTAAACTTAAAAAAAATTCAAAGCCAGTCCTTATCATTCAAATATTTATTTAGCTTTCCCTTCAACTCCCTTTACTTTACTTCATCTACCACATCTGAAGGCAATCTGTTCCGAAAGACAACTACCCTGTTAGAAAAATATAATTTTTCTTAGCTGAACATGACTCCAACCCTCCCAAAATTTATGTTTGTGTCCCCTAGTTTTACCATTCTCACCATTAAGTACAAAAAATGATGCTGCATCAAAACTACCAATTCCTTGAAAAACACTGAACATTTCAATAAAATCCCTTCCAACTCTTCTTTTATCAAGATAAAACAATAACCAAGAACTAATTTGTTTTTGTAGTAATTGTGAGCTAGTCACTTTTCTTGAATATTCCTGGACTAATTGCATATAACGTTTATTCTTGCATTTTTTTGGGGGGGGGGGGTTAATCAATCAGAATAGTTTTGTTTTAATATTCTTGGAATAGTAAATCAGAATTTTATTTTTAGTATTCTTAGACTAATGATCTAGAACTGTTATTTTTTAACAGCTCATTAAATAATCATCCAGAACCAATTCTTTAGTATCTTTGAACAAAAAATTCTTCTTCTCCAATACTGTTCTAGTAACTTGGAACCATTCCTTTCTATTCATTGTTAGACCAGTAATTTAGAAATTTTTATCTTGCTGAATTAGTCATGTAGAATTGTCTTAACTTGGAATCTGTTTTTCAATTTAGTTCTGCATGGAACAATCATTTAGGTCTGGCTCTCTGTTATTCTCAGTTTTTATTCTAGTGCTTTTTTTTTGTTTAATTTTCCAAAAATCTACTATTAAGAACTGTTCTTCTGATGTTAGTACACCTTTTTCAAACCTAGTTCTTAGATAGGTAATGTGTATTGATATATTATGTGTGTGGAACATAAATGTTGGCTGTCAACTATGAACTTGACTTACAAAATAAATAAAAGCATATGTTCTAGCATATTTTATGTTGATATCATAATGTTTATAAGTTTTTGTTAATAGGGAACCACTCTTATTAATCTCTTACCAAGTTACTCTTTGTTTTACAGAAAGGTTGTGGCTACCATTTAGACCTGTTTGTCCTTTCTATCCAAATTGCGATTTGCTCCATTCTTGGTCTTCCTTGGTTTGTGGCTGCCACTGTCCTGGCTATGACCCATGTGAACTCCCTGAAGATGGAGTCAGAGACAGCTGCACCAGGAGAGAAACCTCAGTTCCTGGGAGTTAGGTAAAAATAAGTACACTCTGATAGTTAGATATAGCATTCATTTTAAATTATTAGAAGAAATCCCATGACAATGTACTATTTTCAGTTTATAGAAGCTATTTATATTAGCCATATGTTAAATCATTAGGTAGGAAACTTAAACTCTAAAAAAGTACTCTCTCTTTCAGTATATGAGTGTTTAACTGTGTATATTATATCATACAGAAGTGTTAAGAAGAGCTGTATTTTGCATATAGACATGTAGCAAATACTATCTATAAAGAGTGAACATTTACAAACATAAAAAATTAGAGGAATCTCAGCATTGTAGTCTTTGAGCTAAATATTTGATTTATTTAAGTATATAACAATTAATGAAATTGGATTTAAAATATCTTTATTATTATTTTTTAATATTGTTAGCCTTAAGCTCCCATGTTTTAGCTTTCAACAGGGTAGTAGGAGTATTCAAATATTAGTTTTAAGACAGATCTGAAATTCAATTTTTCCTACACCTTTGATAAGAAGGGAATGTGACATAAAAACACCTATGGTCAAAGCACAATATTTCACCATGTCATATAAAAGGCCTCTTGGTGGATCAGTTAAGTCTAAGGGCTTATACTGCTAAAATCAGGTTTTGATACACAAGGCAGGCACAGCCCAGATAGCCCATTGTGTAGCTTTAGGATCAGTAACAAACAAACAAAATCATATAAAATCTAAAAGTTTCCTTGCTCAGCCAGTTAGGTATTTCATGTTTTATCACTTAGACTTACAATGTTCACCTTCGCTGAATAGTGATGTAGAAACTAGTGCTGTCAAATATTCCTATAAAACTGACATTTTTAATTCAATTAATATCAACTTTAAATCCTTGTTATGGCACAGAAATTATCATTCACAATTGAGTATTCATAATATATAAATTGACACCAACTTGAAAGCTTTGGTATGAAATTTGTCCTGGTTGCAGCATGAAAATTTATGCATACAAGATCTTTCTGTGACATTATGAGAACCTATCTTCATACCTAGATATCTGTTTCTTTATAAAATGAATTGGCATTATGAGGAATGATATCAGTAACTGGTTATATCTATAATTTCATACAAACTGATACAGACCCTCTAATAGCACAAGAACTATACATAACTGTCATAAACAAATAACCTGTCTTGATATATGAACATTCTTCTGAGCATAAAAAATGGCTTTCACAACTGGACATCATTTTTGAAAGAAGAACGTAAAGAACATAAAATCTAAAATCCTTGGTGATGCACATGTTGAAATTTATAGCTGGATGTCTCTATTAACAACAGAACTAATTTTTGCAACTGAGCATTTTTGTTTGGGTGTTCACTTAATCTTATAACTAAACATCCTTAAGTACATGGAAAGTTTATAACTGAATGGAATAGGAACTGGCATTTAAGACTACACTTGGTAACAGAGAAAGTATTCTCAATTGTATATCTTTGATGACACACATAAAAAAAAAACATTTATAACTTTTATAATTGAGAATTCTTGTAATAACAGGAAGCGAGATTCATAAATATATAGTGACCTTTAGTAATGTACGCTGTTGTTAAAGGAGTTGCACCATAGCACAAAACCAATTTTGATCATTGTTACAAGAAGTAGTTTCTTGTTCTTTACTGGGTGTGTCCATTAATATACAAGCTGCTTCTGTTAACACAGGAACTATATATATAACACTCGTAAGTGGACATTCCTTTTAACACAGGAACTATGTATAACACTCATAAATGGACATTCCTTTTAACTCAGAAACTATATATATAACACTCGTAAGTGGACATTCCTTTTAACACAGGAACTATGTATAACACTCATAAATGGACATTCCTTTTAACTCAGAAACTATATATATAACACTCATAAATTGATATTTCTTTTAATACAGGAACTGGCATTCACTGGATATCTTAGAAGATTTGCTTTTATTATGAAAAGCTGTGCTAACAGAAAGTTGTAGCACTGGTCTTTTCACAGCTTATTCTAATAGTAGCCTCTTCACTTTCTTTTAACATGTTACATTGTTAAAAAACTTGAGAAGAGTGTCCTTTTTGTTTTCCAAACCTTCATCTTTTTTTTCTGCTTTCATTTTCCAACACCAGAGCATCAACACCTTCTATAAGTTATCTTTTTCATGAGTCTACCCCTTTGAGTTAGTACTGTTTTAATTATCACATTTTAGCAGTCCCACTTCTTGTAGTCTTAAAGTATAATTCTGTAAAAATATTTTTATTCTGCTTGCTTCCTATGTAGTCTAGTACCTCCTTTGTTTTCATAATTGTTTAGAAATTCCTTGTTACATAATTTTTGGATGTTTGGATTTTGAAACGAAAACATACAGGGAACTAGGACAACTCAGTAGTCTGCCCGTGCACTCCTGTTGGTTAATTGCATTACATGTGCTCAATAGAGAGATAGGATTATAAATATATGACAACAGGAGCAAATTAATCCATCAGTAAAAATATTTTTTTTTGCAACCTATTTCCTTTGATACCCAAGGCAATTGCTTCTTAAATAACAATGACCCTGATCATTACATCACTGTTATAATATAGGTAGTGATATGCTTAAATGAGCATCCATGTTACTATAGTGGCCAAAATTTATTGTTGGATATTACAAAAATTGTTTAAAATATAAACATGAAAAACCAGTATTTGAAGATTCTGTAAAAAACAATCTATTTCATTAAGGACTTGTTACATTTTACACTATCTGTAAAGCAATGTAACTTATCTTGTTATTGCTATGGCACAGTAAAAACATGAACCGCTTTGGTGTTTTTATATTTGAGAATTTTTTGCATCATAGGTGTCACTTTTTTGCTAAATTTTCTGTTCCCATATTATGGAAATTAAATTTACCAATCATATATATATTAACCCACCTACTCCCTTTTACTAGCCAGAACCCCTCCATCTTTTCTAAAAATCCTGTATTCATGCCTGCACTGTACTACTTATATGTAATCAATAATTCTTTGGTGTGATAGTCCTAGAAATAGGAAAATAATTAAGTACAAATTCATTCAAATTAAAAAAAAGAAAACCATTGACATTTATTTACCTGTACTTTGGCTTCAGTGATTAGAATTAGGATTTGGTATGGTAGTTCTTAAAATAGGGCATTGCACACAATCCAAGGTTGCAAGAAGGATAGAGGAGCTCTAAGAGTGTATGCTGGCCCTTCATGCAGTGGTTAGTGATGTCAAAAAGCCATTGATGGCAGAAAAAAAAAGAAAAATGCTGCAGAATCAGAAAGTAAAATTTACCCCAAGACTGTCTCAGGGTGAATGACTTTTGTTCAGTTTGTTCACCCCAAGACTGTCTTGAGGTAATTGCCAAGGAGGTTAATGTGTTACTAACACAAAATGAAATTTCTGTAAGCTGCTTTAAGCTATACCAACTTGTATATCTACTGCTTTCTACTACAAAATTATATTTTTTTTATCAATGCAAGTATATAATTTTTATGCTGAACATGTTTCCTTCATATTTTTGTAATTTAATTATTTAAAAAATTAAGTAATTTACTGTAAAAAATAAAACACTAAAAAGCCTAGAAAAGATGTAATGGAATTTTCTATTAATTCTTGTGCTGTATGGTCTTCGAAATGATATCTGTTTGTATGTATGCATAGTACCATAGAATGTATGGAATAGATTAATCTTCTTTCTCTATATTCCCACACAGACGTATTTGCCTTGGCTCTTTTCATATAACGTATCCCTAAGTTTTCTTGTGGTTATAATGTATGTTGTGTAGTGCACATGACAGTTATGTTACTGCTACATATCTTCAGTCAGCAGAATAACATGCTTTCAGGAAAGCTTTGAGAAAAATTCTGGGGCTTCTGCAACATCCGCTGGTTTACTTCTGTAGTTGTGTGTCACTGTTTGACTACGGTAGACGTGAAAAAAAAAGAGATAAACTACGTTTTCAGTTTTACAAGAAGTTCCCCTCTCTATCATATTAGAAAAATCAAGGAGTGACTGTCAGAGAAGCCCCAAGATTTATCCCAAATGAGGTTTTAATACTGAATATACATGTATCAAGATGTATAAATTATGTAACTGAGAGTTGTAGGGCTAAACATGTGCAAGCATTTATTGAGTGCTTGTCAAAGATGAATGAGTATGACATCATAAAATGAATAATTCCACTATAAAATCATAAACAACCCAATTTAGTGGCTTTGAAACTATGCAGCAAAAACTGCAACATTAGAATATATTTATCCCCCCCCCCCAAAAAAAACAACTAAAAGGAATAAACACATTTCTGCTACGGTGAAGGGGCTCAATAGTTGATAGCCAGTAATATATTTTAAAGTTGAATAACAAATAGTGATTTTTTTACTTTTCCAAACATATTTTTTATGTAGTCCTCTGTGGTTTCTAGTCTGTACTGTTGCATATCCATGATTTGTTCCCCTGGTGGTTCAGTGGTACGTTAACAGACTTAGAACACTAAAATTTGGGGGTCTGTTCTCCATGATGGATAGACTATATATGTATTTTCCATATACAACAAGACTAGGGTTAATGATTTGGTAAAACAGTCTGCAAATATTTGTGTTCCTTGAATAAAATGTCTTGTTTTAACTTTGTTTTTAATAAGAAAATAAAGAGAGAAATTTTTTATCCATCACTAATTGTTGTCTGTTGATTGGATATTATTTTGAAGTGTAAATATTGTATTACAGAGAACAACGAGTCACTCATATTCTAATCTTCATCTTGGTTGGTTTATCTGTCTTCTTCACTCGTGTTTTAAAGGTTGGTTAGATTTTGAGGTTTTCGCATATTTTTTAATGTGTACATTAATGATCAGAAAATTTTAAGTATTTTTGAGAGTATATTGAAATTGTTTTATGTGAACAGTAATTAAAACACATTTAATGGGGAGCTCTCAACTTGCTTGACAAAATTTGCAGACATAAAGAGTAATCATATTTATTAATATTATTAATAGTTTCCTTTCACAAAATAATGTGAATCTACTGAGTTCAGAAACAAAACTATAATTTAACAGTTTTTAAAATTATTTTAATTACAGTAGAATACTGAAACTTAAACTTTTATGTATCATAGTTAATTCCTGTGTCAGCAAAATACTGAATAGTGCATATATGATACTAGATAACATGATACTAGAACTATAATTTAACTCTCTCCACAGTTCATCCCTATGCCTGTTTTGTTTGGTGTGTTTCTGTACATGGGCGTTTCTGCACTCAAAGGATTACAGGTATGTCATGTGATCTCAGACATCAGATTAACCTTACACTATAGTGCTTTGCATAGAAATTTTGTACCACTGTTACTCTGTTAACTCTGGATATAATGGTTTTGTTATTGAAATTGGGTTAATTAAAAACCGTTTTGTTTATTATACTGATGTTAGGTATTCCCATCTGTATAACACTAAACACACTGACACTAGATGTTGGAAATTCCTTCATACAGTTGTCAGTTGATAGCTAAATCAACAGCCTGTATACATGATCACTTATTATTGAACGTTACTTTTTTGTAGTTGTACTTACAGTTACTAACTAGTACTGGTTTAATGTTTCTAACATATTCTTACCCCTTAAATTATCTGTTAATTGGGTTGGTCACAAAAAAATATGTCAATGCTTCAACATATGGAGAATCTAAGAATTCGAAGTTTGTATTAGCTGTTAATGCTGTGATTACTTTTTGTATTATTGACAGTGTTTATCCTTTTAGGGTAAACAAACTCTTGAGTTATAATCTTGTCATAAGTAATTTTTCCTGACCTTTATGTTTTTACTGTATTACTTATTGATTTTTAGGAGTTTAATGCTGTCATCACATTTTGTTTAATACATTTGGCTTGGTTGAAAACATAGGTGTTGCCTAAGTAATAAAAAATTACTTGTTACTCTAAAATGTTAAATAAATAGTTAACTCATAAAGTTTCTTTATTATCTAAACAGAAGAATACTTACATCTGAAAGAGTTTATCAAGGCTGTAATATTCGAAATATTTCATAAAGTTTGCCAGTTGTTTAAATTTAAGCTTGTGCAAACTTAGTTTATGAATAATATTTTAAATACAATAGAAAATAAATGAAATTCTAAAGGAAAAATTTTTATGGAAAATAATACAGTGGGAATGAATTAATTAGCAGAACACATAACACTGTAAATTAATCTACTCATAACTTTCCAAGAGAGACAATTCAGTTTGCACCATCTTTATTAAGCCTTAACATTTTGATGTTAATAATAATTTTAGCAAAACTGACTTGAGTTTATTATTAATTTAATCTTCTATTTAAACTTTAAAACAAGATTATTAACATTGTTCACCAGTAATCCTTTTCTCACAAAGGTTTCAGCTTTGTAGTTGGAATCCATTTAAAAAGTTATATAATGTAATAACAGTTGTATATAGCATTCAGAATTTGAATACATCTTTATAATAAGATTATTTTAAGGAAAGTCAGGTTTTTGATAAAAATAGAAATATTTAAAAGGTTAAAGGCGAACTGTGTGTGTTTTAAAAAGTACAGTGACCTTATCATTAAATATATATATTTTTTACAGTTGTTTGACCGTATCCTGATCCTTTTCATGCCACAAAAGTACCAACCAGATTTGATGTTTCTTCGATCTGTAGAAACCTTGCGAGTTCACTTGTTTACTGCTGTCCAATTAGCCTGTCTGGTGTCCTTGTGGGTAATCAAGTTATACAAACCTATTTCCATTGCTTTTCCTCTCATGGTAAGCTCAGTGTGCTTTGTTTTCAAAACCTGATTATTTTTTAATTTAATGTGTATATCCAGCTTCCTACTTGGTTATCATTATTAGGATGAGAGTGTTGATGGACTTCAATTCTTCAACTGTTGAAATGTATTACATTGTATATCATTAGAAATCATTATTTTGTCTCTCCTGGTCAGCTGGTAGTGATGATTGGCATCAGAAAGTTGTTGGACTTTGTCTTCACCCAGCGTGAATTAAAGATCCTTGATGATGTAATTCCAGAGTCAGCTAAGAAAAAATTAGAAGAGGAATTGAGAAAGATGGAAGAGGAACAGGTGAGTTGTTCATCAGTTAATGTATAATTTGAAAAGGGCTGTTTAATTTCGTATTTGATTGTTATATCTTTAGATATATTAAAATTATGTGAGGTTGATTTCCTAAATCTAGTTATTAATGCAGTTTGTATACTTATTACACTACTGAACTAATCACAAAAAAAATGTTTTTGAAAATTGTGAGTTTCCAAAATGCATATTTGCAATATTAAATAGACATTTAAAACTTTATTGATTAATTTTGTTGGTGAAGAAAACTCTGTATGAGTTTGCCACAGTATTCTGGTACTCCATGAGAAAAAGGAAAGGAGACTTAATGTTTTTGTTCATTACATATACAATCTAGAATTCATATATGTTTGTTTGTGTTTTTGAGTTAATGATTTTACAAGAATTAATCTTTTAATATAGTTTTTCTTTTCAAAGAACAGTTTTTTTTTGTTTTTCAAACAGTTGTTTGCTTTGTATGCTTATCTTTGTTTTCATATGATCAAATAAAACATTCTTAAAATGTATATCTAAGTACCTTTATAATAATGTCTTGGTTAAATAAGTTATGTATACATAGAAAATACATAGGCTGTTCATTCAAAGTGCAGCTTACCAAGTTATTTCCTCACTATATTTGTTCTTCAGGATACAAGCACGGAGAAGGTAGGACTGGTTTGCTGGACTGACCACACGAGCTGACATTTTAGAAAGATTGCTTTTTCCCAACACATCAGCATCATTAATTTTAATACCTACATGTTACTTAATATTTAATTTCTATTTTCTGACTGTTTATAACATTTGTTTGAATGGCTAACATAAGGAGTTGCATGTTATTGTTTAAAGGACTTCATTATGATGTTGCATGGTCTTGTGACATATTTATTTGAAACTTTATGTTATCCATCAAATTGTTGCATTTTTCGTTTGAAAGTCTTTTTATTTTAAATATAACATAATGAAACATGTAACTTGCATTACCCATTACAGAATGTTGCATGTTCTTGTTTCACAATCTTTTTTTATACATCAAACAATGTAACATATTCTTATATGAAATCCTACTAACATCACACAGTCTTTCATAATTTTACTTTAGTGTTTTGATCTTAATCGTTAAAGTTTTGTATGAAAATTTTCTCATATTATCAATTATACACATACTACTAAAAATATTTTTTTCTATTCGTTGATAATTTTCAACATTGTCTCTCATGGTACAAGGGAAATATATTTTTCCTTTGTTTGTTGCATTATATATTAAGATATGTAGAATGTTTCTAAATCATTTCTGTCAACACAGTTTCATTATTAATTCACATTTTCAAGTGTTTGTGAACTTGCCACTAATATTTCAAATGTAACTTTTAACAAAAATTATTAGTTTTTGTGTGACTAACATTTACTAGGTACTCTAAATAAATTCGTCTTTTGTTGTTTCTACTAACATGTTATTTTGCTTTAGTTCTGTTGGTTCCCTCTTGCACACCTCACATATTTAACAACAAAATATTTTCATTTTGTTTGCTTATATTGAAATTAAAGGTAAATGCTAATAATTAATGTCTGTATAAGGTATTTAGTGAAAAGGTTACTGTACTTACACTGAGGCATTTTTAAATGTTAGGATGGTGTGGTAATAACGCTGACAACTGGATGTACACTAGTAGTGATGTTAAGGATGAGTGAGTTGTTAGATTTGGTTAATAAAGATAGTTACTAGATATACATTAGGAGAGGTTTTAAAGTATTAGGATGGTATGGTAATAAAGCTGACAACTGGATGTACACTAGTAGTGATTTTTAGAATGAGCGAATTGTTACAATGTAATATTAAAGCTAGTTATTGGATACACACTGGAAAAGATTTTGGGAATGAGGTGGATGTGGTCTTAGATATTTACAGGATGCTATGGCTGTGTGTTAACCCTTTCATTGTGGCTGGGATGTATATTTCACAGTGCACTGGGAACTATGCATCCCAGCCGCAGTGAAAGGATTAATATGTACACTAAATTTGGTCTTAAGGATGGGTGTTATGTTAAACTGATTATTTACATGGGCTGGGTTGAGACAGTTAAGGGTGGTGTGTAGAATTAATCACTGGATATATACTAAAAGTGGGTTAATTGACTGATGTATAAAAATGACAAATGAACATAGATTTGTAACAACGATTTGTTAACATCAATTTCTGCATGTACGTGAGAGAGAGATGGTATGATAGTTAAACCATGTAATATAATTATGTTGTGTAAACTGACTTTTTACTTTTTAAGTTATGTTAATTTATAAAGTCCTAAATGAAATGAGAGCTAGAAGTGAGATAGAAACTTGCATACAATATTTGTATCCTTTGTTCAGTCTACTGCATTGTGATGTTCATACTAGACTAGGTAGTTTATACAGAGGTAAGTTGTCTTAATAAATTTTAGCATTTTGCACTTCTTCAATACAAAAGTTAGCTTACTAACATGAAATCTTCAATTGTTTACTCAAGAAAGAATAATGTTTATATTTAACCTCTTAAGTGTGTCAACCTGAAACCTGTTTAGTCAGTAAATAATACTTTTTAGAAAAGTTTGGCCTTTTAATGCCAACTAATTCATCTGTTTTTTTATGTAGTACCATATTTTTAATTTGATAAGGTTGAAATGTTCTCCATAAACAACTTCTTAATAATATTATGAACATTATAATTTTTTATATAAAATTTATATTTTCATATAACAATTAGGCTAAAAGGTTTAAGCTCAGACTTACTGAAAGAAATATGCTTTCACCTTAAGTTTTACCAACTAACTTGTTTCCAGTTTTTAAATGAGCCATAAAATTAATTTGGCAGGAAGGAGTAATACTGCCTGATGCCAGTGCAGGAAATGTAGCTATCCCTCTGGCAAATGGAAATGTACTGAAGATTCCTGTTACTAAATTCAAAGAAGAAAATGAACAACTGAACTCGGATCAATCTAACATTAACATCTCAGAGCAGTTGAACAAAACTGGGTTGTGGCAGAGCCTACAGCAGAAGGAGCACAGCACCCCCAAAATACTGCAGAAAAACAGTCCCCCATCCTTAAAGATCCCAACCAGGTATTATATAAATTTACTTCTTCTTTTGATAGTTTAATGTAACTTCAAGTTTACTGGTCAGAAACTTCAGATTTTATGTTGTGGGTTATTTGTATACAGACAAAATATGAAATTATAAACTTTTTTGAATAGTAGAAATTTGTTCTTAAAAAAAGTATGCAATATGTTCATAAACAACAGAAAGATTTATGTTTGAGAGTTAGCATATATTCATAGCCAGTTAATAAAAATATGACTTTAGAAGAGTAAGTCATAGAATTATTTAAATATTTTTCACTATCAGAATTAATGCAGCACTTATAATGTTAAACAATAATCAGTCATTTAATTCATAGACCTTGTAAATTAGTGGAATTTGTTAATTGATTAATTTTCAGACTCATGATTCGATTACATTCAACCAATCAATTACTTTTACAAGACTTGGATAGTTGGAAAAATAAAAAATAGTAATTCTGATTAGTTAAATATTTTTGTGAACTGTGACACTAAGCTGAAAAACCTGAATAATGAGAAATCATAATGACAATATTTTAATAACTTTTACAATTGAAATCGTCAAAAACAGTAATAATCGAGAACACCAACTTTCATTAGTTGATTATTTTTGTGACATTAATTGGTGACACTAGTCAGTGTAATAGATGCTCATAGATAATTAATTGGCCAGCTCTATTTTGGAAAATTTGAAGGAGATTCAATAGCTAGGCAATGGAAGGGTAAAAGAAAAATATACTGAAATAAATGAAAATAACATAAAAAATAACTGGACAGAAGTGATAAGTCAATGCAGCTATGAAAACTTATAAAAAATTAAACCATAAAAGGAAGAAGATAAAAAATACAAAGACCATTAAAAACATCAAGTTCTTCATCAAAACTTTGGATCACTGGTTCCTGCCTTTGTCATATATACTTACTGCACACTCGCACTCTCCAAGAATGGTGAAATATTATTATGATATCTACAAATCATGGTTAATCAAATGACAACTCAAAGTGACAGGAAATTATGGTATATAAAAAATGTGAAATAAAAAATATCACAACAGGTACATCAATTATATCTGTAGTTGAGGGGTTATTAGGAGGATTTTGAAACTATATTCCTAAAATTTCAGTAGTTTTTGACCCTTTTTTTCAAGTTAATCATAACAAATGACAGTATATTCAGATAAAAGTTTAAGATACTTATATTATTCAGAGTTACTAATAGCTTTCATAAATGTCATTGAATTTTGTCTAGCAGAACACTGGACTCAGCTTCAGGATTCAATAATGACAATAACATTTATTGAACTAATTAGTGCCCTTCAAACAAATGTTTCCATAGTTACAACACTTATTAAACTAATTAATACACTTCAAACATACATGTTCATAATAGTTTCAACAGTTATTAAAATAATTAGTACCCTTCAAAAATATATGTTCACCATAGTTACAACACTTATTAAACTAATTCAAACAATCATGTTCATCATAGCTACAAACACTTAGCCAAGATGTTGGTACTTCTTCAAAGTCAATTTTCATGATCAATACAGTTAAGACACTAATCTAATGGAACTCTAAAAGTGCATTCCATGCTCTCAAACATTATAAGTTATCGAAAAGTTTATTAATTCTTAAAAATGTGTGTGTATATATGAAAAGACTTACATTAGTTTATATAAAATCTATACCAGATCTACCTTATTGTTCAGATATTTTCCCACAGTTTTCAGGTTTAAACATTTGTTTTTTGCGAGAACTATTATAAAGTTTGTATCTTGAAACCTGCATGATTTCATAGCATAAACACTATTGGAATGTGTGTTATATCTATACAAATTGTTTCTATGATATTAGTAGTTTGATGCTAGTTTCATTTGAGCAATCCTTAGTAGCACTTTTACTATAAACGATGTCATACTGCATGCATTATTTCTCTTCTTTTGCCTTTGCTACTGGCATTGAAATAAAATATTAATAAAATTATAAATTTTACATCCATTTTAGCTAAATTTATTTACAGCTACCTTCCTATACTAAAATTTAAATCTATCTTAAATTTTATTTAATGTGAATTTTACATCCTTTTTTTATCCTTTAAAATTTTAACTTCCTTCTTTTGAAATAACCAGTGTTCCACTTAAATCATAATTGTTCACTTCCTTCCTGTTCTCTTTCCCGTCATCCTTCTCTATTCTGTCTACTCTACCACTCATACGTGGCCAGTCAGGTAGGACACCATCTACCATGTTTGATGTTTTTAGAAGTTTGTGCTAATTATGTTCAGGGCTTAATATTTTGTACTTAAAATATGTAATTACTAAATATTTCATAAAACTATAAGTTAATTGCATCATGTTATAACTTATACTGTAGACAGTGGTCATTGTGAGGCTTAAAGTTGTAACGAATTCATCATTTGACACCAGTATGAAATAGATAACACAACACTTAATAAAATTTTGAAACAGTATTTTGCATACAACAAAAAACCGAAGATATGCCAAAGGCAATAAAATAAGCAGTAGAAAATTTGAATTATAGTTTGAAAAAAAAAACTATTTTATATAAAACAATTTATTTGATGGGCAGTGATTAGTATTATGAATTTTGAATATTTCTTGTACTCTTATGTACATAAACAAGAAAAAAATATACAGATTATGAGAAGCTCTTTCTGTTTTAATTCATGCTTCCATAATTTCACAGGCACATATTTAAGGTGTAGAACAGTTTATATTATGAGGTGGATTCTCTTGAATTACTCCATAAAATATAATGCAAAGTTCATTCCATTTACTCATAATTAAAGTATTATATTTCATCTACTTCAAGTTCTAAAAGTTAGCTTTACTAATGTTCATTGATTGGCCTAACTTCCAGTGGATACTAAAACAAAAAAATTAACTTTCTTGCTAATTTTCTCACATGTACTATTTTGTCTCATATTTTTCTGAAACAAATTTACTATTCAAACAACTGATGTAACAAACAATTAACAAATTGAACTAATTCGGTAATCAATCCATGTCTACTTCAGTAAAACTTATGTTTTTATATTGATCAAATTATTTCCTAAACTTTAAAGAAAATTCTAGACTTTGAGCTACACATTCATCAATGTGATGTCAGAAACTTCCTCTAGCCCAATATTAGTACAAATGTCTAAAAAAGAAAAGTCTACCAGTATTATTTTTCAATGCTGAAGGCCTTTCATTCATCATGAGAAGAGATGACCTGTGAATATATAGAGGTTTGATGATGGGCATTGTTTAAAATATAAAAAACTTATTATTCTTAGTAATGTTCTGAAGGTAATATTCATATACACTTGGGATGAGAATATTTGTGTTATTGGTTAAATAGGCTGTTGTTTTTCTTTAATCATTAAATTTTTTCTTACTAGGAAATAAGTTTTTGCCTTGAGTATTACTATAATACATCTAACTGACTTTACCTACCTCAATGATGACCACTGTCCCCAAAGTTTGAAGTATTTGTAAATGTGAAGAAATATGTGCATACAATATATATAGATATATTTAACTTGTATATATTTTTATACATTGATAAGATCATGACTATTTAATTTTAAATGCTCCTGAAACATAGTACTGTTAGTGTTGTTTGCTTGATGCAGTTTGTTTGAGGCCCCTGGTGTATCAGAAGTAAGTCTGAGAGCATATAACATTAAACATCAGGTTTGTATACCAATGGTGGGCACAGCACAGATAGCCCATCGTGTAACTTTGTGCTTAATGACAAACAAAAGTTTCTTTGAGACTCACTTTTAGACTTATGTGTATCTAATGTTTAACATGGTGATACAGTGATGTATATCATTTCTGTTTCATTGTACAGAGTGTTGGTGAGAGATTTCTGTTCGTTTGTGTATCTCACACTAGACTGTGTAAAAATATAGCTACCATATATGTAGCATAGTCCCTTAACTAACTCTGTGTACCTAATTCTTGATTGTGTGACAGCCTCTTGAGACATTACTGACTGTGTGTACTAATTCTTGATTGTGTGATAGCCTCTTGAGACATTACCTACTGTGTGTACCTAATTCTTGCTTGTGTGACAGTTTCTTGAGACATTACTGACTGTGTGTACCTAATTCTTGATTGTGTGACAGCTTCTTGAGACATTACTGTGTGTAGCTAATTCTTGATTGTGTGGTGTGAAAATATGAATATATGCTTTGAACCTAACAAGTTTTATATGAAAGTGATACTTGCATTTGTTCTGGCTTGATAGTATCATACAAAATGTAGTCTTTGTTATATTTCTTTATTATTAGACTGAACTCTCATACACACACACATTCAAATAAACACAAGGGGCATTTAAATGAAAGAGGTAAATTACTTAAAAGTATAGTGATGAATGTAAATTATATTTGTATCACTTCTTCAGAGTCTTCTTGTATTTCTTATCACTTAAATCAACATCAGACTAGACTTGTTTTTGGTTGAGTAGCTGCTCATGCACCACATCTTGGACATTTTTGTTTCAAAATGTTTGCCACATTAGTGATGAATATAAATTAAATTTGTATCACTTCTTCAGAGTCTTCTTGTACTTCTTATCACTCAAACCAACATCAGGTTAGACTTGTTTTTGGTTGAGTAGCTGCTCATGCATCACATCTTGGACATTTTTGTTTCAAAATTTTGCCACATAAGGCCTCTTTCACAGGACCAGATAAGTAAAAGTTACTTAGTACAAAGTCTGGGTTATGTAGCAAAACCTGAAGAGTTATAACACTAAACTACATAGACTGTTGCAGGAGCAGATTGAAGACATATATAGTTATGGTGGAATAGGACTCGCTTCTTTTGCAATCATTCACTCACAGCAAACTTCATAATTAGTGTTGTAAAAATTTCATCCAGCAAATGGGATAACTTCATGTAGTTCTTCCTTATTGCATTCGTTTATGCATGTTGCTTTGTGATTTACCCATAATTTCACTGGTGCCATTACCCATTAGATTATTTAAAAAATGGGGGTGGCAAATTTCAAAATGTTTTACTTACCCAACCTACAGCTTTCCTTTTTATCCCTTCTTCATATGAATGCCTCTTGTATAATATGCATGTGAAATAATCTATGTGTCTCATGCTTCTGCTCACTTATGCAATTAAAGCAAGCAAAAAACATTATTACACTGAACACTTAAACATGCTTCAACTAAGAAGAATGTTGTCGATGATGTCATCAAAGCTAACTTAAATACTGAGTAGTAGTCTTCTCTGAAACACACACAGATGGCACATTGTGTACATATTACTCTTCTTATCAAACAGAATATTCAAACATAGGTCATACTTTGTAATCACAAATCATCCAAATTTCATTGTTGTCCAAAACATGTTTATATAATCTGTGTGACTTGTGTCATTGTTTAAGTAAATGTTGTACATGTGTAAAATTTTCATTACAAGTAAGATTGTAGTTTTAAAATATTATGGGTTTGTTATCCAATAGTTACAAAATGTTTTTAGTTATAGAAATTCCTTTTTTCTTCCTTCTGAATGAAATGATGTATTTCAATGTTTTTTTTTAATATAATGTGAAATCATACAAGATTTTAACAGTTTGTATTGATAATTTTCAGTCTGTAGTTATATTATGTTCTTTAAAATGAAGTTTGCACTTGTTCTTGAAAATTAAATTAATAATGGAATATAATTCCTTGTCAGGTAGTTGTGGATTTGTAGACAAACAGTGTAACTGAATCATAAGTTTTTGATCATGCTATAGACAAAACTTTATTTTAAATAGTCTGAAGAAGAAGCGAGGCAATAAAAATGATGCAATAAATGATGAGGAAAGAAAACGGCTTTCAACCATGGCTGAAGATGAAGAAGAGGATGAATGTGGAATAACAATTAAGATTCAAGAACCTACCCCCATACCTTCCAACAGCCCATCAAAAGAAGCTTCACCAGATGACACAACTTCCAGGGAACAGGTTAACCATAGTGAGACTCGGGTTTGACTATAGTGACCTTTAGTTCTAATTAGTAGGTCATATTGGTCATAGGGTGTGAAAATGTCCGAGTCTTTAGCCAAGCCTGGCTCCTTACCAGCATCGCTCAAATCCTTCTTATGTTTGATTCACTTTTGTTCTTTGACAGATATAGCTCAACTTTTGGTTGTGACTTCCACAGTCTCAGGAATTACCAAAGAAAATCATTTCCACTGTCAGGTCCATAATGTCATGGGAACTTGACCAGTGGATGCATCTTAGGGCCTCTGTGGCTGGCTGGGATCACATGAAAAGTAACGAAGTTATAATGGACTAACTAGTTGAATAAAAAAAAAAAAGAATACAAAAAATAGATGGTTTTCTTTAACCAAAGATACCAACTGTGTTTACACGTGTTGTGCTTCCAATATGGGACAAACATTGGTTCACAAATGTCATCTTTATTCACTAAATACAATGTGTACGTATATGTTTTTAGTATGGGTTGGTGATGGTATTGATAGGTTTTGTCAACACTGTCAGTAAGCAGAAGGTAAATTTTCTTCATGACTTTTATGGTTCAGAGTCTTATCTAGATTGACTATTCTACCATATTTGTGGTTTAAGTCTGACTTGTCAGAATCTTCAAAAGTTTTCATTAGATTTTCTGTCAGAGTAGTTTGTTTACCAAAATGTAACAATAGTTTTCATTTATGAAAAGAACCATCAATCATACATGCGCATGTAAACGTATATCCTATAACAACCAATTTGTCAGATTTGTAGCTAGATGAGGCTCTACACTAACAGTAAAAAGTACACATTTAGATTTCTGACTAGTCTAAAGCTGTGTGATAAGTAGATGAAATGTCTGATTTAGTTTGAGCTTATAAGAATATACGTATGGCTAGAATGTGACTGGTAAGTTATACTTGTTTTGTTGGGTATCTGACTAGTCTAAATTTACATTTACTTATTTCTTTTGAAGGTAAAAAACTAGTTTTTGTGGGATTTTAGGGTATAGAAAATACAAAGGTAATTTGAAATATTGCTTTATGTCAGATGGTTATTATATTCTCTGTTCTACAACTTTTTAACATGCCTTTGTGCAAAGAATAATTTTTATGTTTATTTATACATCAACAATAATGAAATAATTTGAATAAGAAATTTTTTTTCATTGAGAACATTTCATTTGCTTTGAGGAGATTTATGTAACTGGTTTAGCAAACTTGTCTGTTTTAGTATCATGTCAGTAAAATTGAAAGTAGATGTAGTAGAAATAAGGCCCAAATAAATGATTATTGTTGTAACTTAAGAAATTAGTCATATTCATTTTCAGTTGTTACTAAGTCTGTATGTAGATTGATAATGACTGACTTATGTGGTTACATCTAAGTTATATTACATAACCTAATTACTTGTTTAGTTGTACAAGTATAAGACTAATTCAAACAATGAGATTTAGGTGAAGTGAACAAGATCCTAAGAAAAATTAACCCTCTGAGACATCTTGAACTTGAACCCTTTCCAAGCCTGAACAGATTAAAATAACTATTTATTCTTTTGCTTTGAAACATAAATAGCAATGCCAATCTAACCTAAACTGTGATTATACATGTTATGGATAAAGCAGTTTGCATATCAAGGAACATAAAATACAGTAATTTTATCAATCAGAAGTAAGTACACAACTGAAACAACTCATTCACTTACAGCACATTTACATTAATCTGATCAGCCAAAAGAACAGCGTTCACTCATTTAAGAATAGATACTGCAGTAACTATATAAAGTGCACAGTACTCATCCACAAAAACTAGATAGTGCAATGATTTTACCCATCAAAGGAACAGCATCCACCCACCTAAAAACAGATAATGTATTAACCATATCATTCAAGGTTAGAGCACTCACCCATTTAAAAACACGTAGTGCAGTATAACACCCATCCACCTTGTTAATAAGAAGTAGAGATCTTATGCTATCTTGTGTTGTACATGTAACTTTTACTGTTTCAGAGATTATCTGTTCATTCCTATTTTATTAGAAAGTAATTCACAATTTTTAAACACTGTAATTCCAACTTCAGGGTCAAAATGACTTTCTTTAGATCACTCCTTCTCAATAGAAAATACTCCTGTTGGATATCTGTCCACATAAGGTTCTGGACTTAAACCTTTAGCAGTACCATTATTCCATACTTTGTCAGTAAATTCTATAATTCCTTACTGTCAAAAAAAAAATTGTATTTGTATTTTTTCCCCACGAGGTTCTGGACTTTATCCTTTCTTGGCTGCAAATGTACTGTAGTTCCATTACTTGTCAGTAGGAATTTCTGCGGTTAACCTATTGTTAACAGAAGTCGATTATCATTATATTTCTTGTTGAAGGATTCTGTAATCTACCCACCATCTGTAATTACATGTTCTTAAAACAGGAAGAGCAGGTCTTCCCACTTTAACATTAGGATTTACTGTACCATTCTCTATTTTAAAAAAATTGCTGTTATAAATTACTTACTAGAAGTTACCATAGCTTAATTTTTTGTTGACAGGAGTTTCTTAATTTCACTCATTATCAGTAGGATACGTTATAATACCATTAGGATAGACTGTTATTCCCCGTAATTAGTAGAAGGTACCAAAGTTTCATCTCTAATCAGTAGTGGAGCACTGTACCTTTTATCATTTGTTAACAGTTATTGAAAAATTAATTGATCCCAAGTCTTTAATAAAACCAACTGAAATTAAAACAGTCTTTAATTACAGGAAAAACTAAATTCTACACTTGCTGATGTAAAAATAAAATTTCATACCCTATAGGTTCGTAACATAGCTTGAGAAAATTAAGATTTGCTTGATACTAAAGTTCAACATTTACACTACATATGACAAGGATGCTCATATTATTGTGTATAAAGTTTCATAATTTCAACAACTTTGAACAGTTACTATTACTTCATAAAATATTCAGAAACCAAGTTTTTACCCTTTATTGATTAAATCTAGATATGTTTATCAATAAAGAATTAGGAAGATGCAAAAACCTTTTTGGAAGTTAAAGAGTTAGGGAGACTTGGAAGGTATATATCTTGCGTGTTTTGGCTTATTCTTCCCCATCACCCCCATGCTACAAGCAAGAACATAAAAACTATATACATTGACTACTTTATTGTAATGGGATCTGGAAGTAGCAAGGTACTGTTGTTTATTACAGAATATTCCTTGTGTTTCATGCAGTAGCGTGCAGAGGGGGGTGAAAGGTGCCGAGGCCCCGGGCATCTATGTTGGGAGGGTATCCAACGCAAAGAGTCGAATCGAATAGTAGAACCCTTTCCGCCCTTCCTCAAGGTCTTAGGTACAAGGCCCCGGGCATCATAGAACCTCTGCACGCCCCTGGATTCATGGTGCTATAGAACTGAAATTTTACTATTTCACCACTCCATTTTTATTTCAATCAAAACCAGTATTCATAAGGAAAGTGTAATACTATTTATTAGTAGTTAAATCACTGGTAATGCATTTGTTCAACAACACAGATCATTAGACCTACTGTGTCTCAATTTTCACTTCTTTAGCAAGCTGTTATATTTGAAAAACTATTAAAATTTATAATAAGATTACAATATGTAAGTGTATTATATTTAGCCCAGCAAATCATGCTGCTTGGTGCAAAGGGTGACTAAGGATTTGGATAACAATTCTGATAATTGTTACTTCTACAATCTACAGAGTGTACTTGAAATGTTATTACTACATTCTTCTTGCTTAATCTTTCTAATGGTTAGTTAAGCCTACAGTTCTGATATTCCATTAGTCTTGCTTGCAGCTTATAATCCTTCAGTTTTGAGGCTACATCCCTGATAATTATAAGAACTTGAAAGTAATAAAGAATGTAACAATATGTCAACCACATTACTATATCCAGTGCTGTCAAGGCCTTTCCATTAATACCACAAATCATCAGGCCCGCCAGGATACGACATAGTAGTGGTATAGATGCTAGTTATATTAAATTCCAAATTCTGTCAAAAGCAACAGTTAAGATAGAGTACCTTACTTTCACTATGGTTCTTCCTGTGACATTGACTAAGGCAACACTAGTGGAAACTATTTTAGGAACAAGTTTGTGCTCAGGTATGGGTGGATAACTTTGGGGAGGTGTGTGCCTCTTTGTACGATTGGTGCTAATAAACTTACCATTCAGTTCTAAATGAACCTGTCATCAAAAAGCCATAATTAGTAAATTTTTTGGTATGTCAAACATATACGACTCAGTTTTAATGAAATGATTTCAAAAAAAAGTTAATTTGTTTACAAAATATATCAAAGAGAGTTTGTCTAATGCAGACTCACAAACCATGATTGTGGAACCCTCTAAAATCTCTAGCTTGAAGCCCAATTCAGTTAGAAGTACAATAGGAACAGCTTTCATTACAGCTACACAAGAACGACATGAAGTTCAGTAAAGAGCATATAACTAACTACATTTATTGTCATTTATTTTCTTGATCAAGTCAGATCCTCAAAATCCTTCATCCACATTACTATCATGAAAATATCTTCAAGTTACCAAAATAACTTCATTGTACTACACCACTAGATTTCAACACCCAGTCAGGAATAATTATGAGATATTGAAGGAGTAGAGAATGCCTCTTTATGCTGGAAATATAACCACAATGGTGCTCTAACCTTGATAATAGTAGTTATAGCCAATCTCCTGATGCATAATCTGTTCAGTGTTAACAACAGCTGAAATTATAACATGATAGAAGTTTGAGGGCAAAGGACATTTAGCTTCCTCATATTTTTTCTTACTGAACACACTAAGAATTGGCGAGTTTTTTAGCAGAGAATATAATGGTGTAAATATAACTAGATATTAAGTACAAATTGTTATAACAAAAAAGTGTATTTATTAAACATTATGTTCACTAGAATGTGAAACTAATATTCTCCATATTGAGAGAGACTTGATTCATAACCAACACTGAATTAGTAACACAAAAGTTATTACTGTTATTCAGTTGGTGCATGTAATCTGCTTCCCCAATCTTTAATTATGTTCAAACTGAGCCCACTGACATATTTTTAAAAATACAGTATTAAAAAGTGTTGTTTCAGACTGCATAGTTTTGAGAAAAAAATGTTTGTGCTTTGTAATCTTTAATTTAGCATCATATTGTTTTGGGTAAAATATTAACGAAATCATACCTTTATAGATTTTGTGGTCTATTTTGATGGTCTCTGGCATAATAAAGTTGTTGCATGATAGCCTTTATTTTTTCCATTATATTGCCTCACAATTAAATTTTTTTAATCTTTTGAATGGTATTTTATCTTTTGGACTTGCAATTATTAGCAACAGAAGTGGAGAATCCAATATCTTGTGTTTGTCCAGGAAGTAGGCCAATATAAGTGATATTGCCTACATTTTTATTGGAAGAATGATGTTGAGTTGTTTCTGTAAGGAAGTGTAAAATGTTTTATTTGACTACAGTTATCCCCAAAACCCACTTTGTGATTCATTATTCCTTTCATTTACTCATTTTTAACAGTCTTTAACCTACTTCAAGGATTTATGTGGAAATAATCTTTTCTTCTACACAAGTAAAACCAACTTCTTGTTTGGATGAGTCAACCAGTGTTAGATGGTTATTTAGCATAACTCTTTGAAATCACAAAATTCAGCAAGTAGTTTTCTCTAACAGTGTTTAGCGAAGTGATTAATATGGTCAATATCTGAACTTGAAAAGGTTGTTTGGTAAGTAGTAGTAGGGTAAAACCAATGGGCTATTGTGCCAGTTCTCACAATGATTGACATAGGCATTAAAACTTGCAATTTAAGTTTGTTCACTGATGGGTTATCATGTTTTGAAAGTTCACAGAGAAATGAAAAACCTCAGAAGTTTACACGGTTAAATGCTGCTTAGAAGATAACAATGTTGTAGAAACTAGAAAATGAAAGAATAGCTATTTGCATCACTGAAAAGAAAGTTTAAAAGAGTAAAACTGCCTGATTTATTAATATTCATGCTATGTCCGTCTTCAAGTTTCAGAAGTTTTCTTTCCTTCAAAAACTTATATTATGTATGTATCAATAAGTATATATGTATTCCATGCAGCAAAACAATTCAAGAGATTGGTTAATTTAAGTACTACGGATTCCCTGATTTAAAAAAAATATCATAAAAATACAAAAAGAATAAAAACTTTGATTTTTTTAAATTTTATTTTTAAATCAATGTATGTATATATTTTTTAATTTAAAATATCTATATTATTTTGAAATACAAAAGAGAAGAAAGACTTTCAGTTAGAGGTAGTAACTAAATGTACAGTAGCACAACTTTGTTAAAAAATATAACATTACTAAGTCATTCTGGATTAAAGCATAACTATTAATAAATTACTTCATAACTCATACAAACTCAACATGTCTTAGTAAATATCATAATAAACTTAGGTTTAAGTTAGTTAACAATGCTAACGTCTACATCATTATCATTTGAAATCATTGAACCATTATTAAAGTGAAAACTATTAAAACATTGGCTCATAAAAGAAAATACTAAATCACTATATGTTAAGTTGTAAAACCAGCATGGCATTCTTTGGGTTAAAGTACCACAACACTTACATTGATTCTTTTTTTTTTATATACCACACAACTGTTTACTTAAAAGTTGCAGCTAACCCTTTTTAATAACTCAAAATGAACTGGTTTTCTCACCAAGACATTTTTATGTTGATGTTCAATATGTTTCTAGCAACATGTACTTGAACATGTTTAATCCAGGTGTTTACAAGTTTTCATATTAGTCAAGAATTATACTGTACTTAGGGGAATTTTTCTTTTTTATCTGGTGGAAAGTAGTAATTGTTGAAATAATTAACTAAGGTATAGTTTAGTTTAAATATGTTTCCAGTATATAGAAACAATGGATGTATAGCAGATTAGATTTAAAATTTATACAAAGTAGGAAGTGTTAATCATTTATAGTTTGTAGAAGTAATAAAACAAATGGTATTCAAGAACATACAAATATATATATCTTGCTACAGTTTGGTTTGTACATTTTTTAAAAACTACACGTTATTTGTGACAGTTTTATCTATAGCAATACTACAAAAGTTCTCAGAAAATATGCATGTGTATAATTTTCTTACCACTTAAATGTGGAGATTATGTTTACAGATAGAGGAGGTTGTTGTGTTATATAAAGTTCACAACGATTCAGTTTAAGTCATTTGTGTTATAACTGTAATAACTAGTTACTCATTTACTGAGTACTATGTATGTAATTAGTAGCCTGGGATGTTTTAAAACCCAGCCCTTAATGTAATGCCTGGTGCAATAAAGTTATGTGGGTAAGGTCACTCATCTGAAAGTTACTTCAAAAGCTGAAAACGTATTTAAAACAAACAAGAAGTTAACTTTTTTTTAACCTCAATTCAAAACAAACATACCATGATTACACAACCTGTAACCACAGTCAATGTTCTTTCTTGAGAAAACAAGAATTAGGTGGTAGCAGCTGCTGCACGTTGTAGTAAGCCTGAGTGAAACTGATATTTTTAGCTCAAAACTGTCTTTTTTATGCCCTTCACCATCACTCATTTCTATTCTTGAGTTGCATTCAGCTAGATCTTTGGAATGATAAGATTCTTATCATGAAGGTTCAAACACCTCATCTGTATTGTCTGTAGCTGAAACAGTATTAAAGGCTGTTCTTAGGCCTGATGATCTTGGGGCAACATATCTGTGTATAATTCAGCTAATTCCTCCATTGTAGCCTTGCAGTGTGTACAAGATGCAACACGAACTAAAATATTTTCAAAGATGCTTAAACTATATGAAGAGTTGCATAACCTTCCTTCATGATGAAATCCATTTGGATTGCATCTACAGTTTTTGCTGAACTTACGGTAGAGGTATCCTGGGACATCTTTTATACTTCTGTTCTTTGGGTATTGTAATTCTGCTTTTATCATTATTATTCTTGTAATTTAAACTTATATTTTTAATAATACATACTTATTTTGATACAAACATTTTCAAATCCAGTTTACTTCATGTTGTTTTTATTTATTTTTTTATCTATTGACAACAGGTTGCTCTAGCAAATAAAACAATCTTTTTAACATTTTTAGTCCATTAACAATACTTATATTTAAAAGACCCACCCAAAGTTTTGCCAAGTTGAATCGTGGATATCAATAACATTTTACAGATACAAGTTTGGAAAATTTACAGAATCAATAAGTTCACTTTAACTTATTCAAATTACTAATTTGCTATTGGAAAATAAGTTTCACTCTGTCAGTTTTACAAGAGAGTCTAATACCTTGACTAGAAAGATAACTATTTTGGTTTTGCTAAGCATTTGGTGACAAAAATAGCTTTAACCCAAGATTTTTGAAAATGGGCATGAATTTTTTAATGGAACAAAAAGTTATTGTAGATGATATGAACAAGAAAAGACAAATCTTGTAAAAACATGTTTATTTTTTATGAAATGCTGTGGAATCTTACAACTGTACAAAATCTGTAAAAAACAAATAAACAAAAAACTATTACATTTATGCAAGTGAATTATTCCAAACTTAACTAAAACAATTGTTACAAGTTCTAGATGCCATTCCATATTTTTAATTAATTGAGAAAAAAAACTTAGACTAGCACTCAGATTAACAGTCATGTGAACTAAACACTCACTCTGTCAGTTTTATTGATGTGTCACATTAACAAACAACTTAGGCCAAGCTTAACATCCTTATCCAATAAAACTCCTATTTAACATTTTTAATAATTGTCACCTCTTGCCATATATATATATATATGTTAACTATTTTCTGGTCTGACTAAACTGTTTTATTAGTTATATCAGTAAATAATCTTTAACCAGTAGTGCTGCCCTTTTGAGATGTATTGACTTAAGAAGTTACATCATCTAATAACCTAGGCTGTAATATTTATTTGTATTACTACTATAACCAATACTGGTTCAATAAATAAATAATTATGTTAGGAATAGCAGATGTCTACAACAATATTACAAAAATATACTTTTTATAAAATGAAAATGCATTACATATTTAAAAAATATTGGAAAATTATCTCAAAATAAAAAAAATAAATAATACTATGTATTAGTGTGTAATGTCTTATAAGAAAGTGTGCAAGGAAATTATTTTTTTCCAAAGACGGTTAAACTTAAAGATATAAAGCCAATGCACTTATACTATAGATACTGCTAAGAAACAGATGTTAAAAGATTAAAAGGCTGTGGCTATGTTACATAACTAAGTATAATTATCTGTTACTATCTGCAGTAATTCTAAAATAATTAAAAGTATTCATTTTATTTCATATTTTAAAGTTTTTTTTGTTTAAGTGTTTTTGCGGCAGTTGGTGTTAGTGTAAAGAAAAAAAGGGACAAAATATAGAATTTTGAATTAAAAAAGATATTCATTTATGAGGTTTTAGATGGTTATGCAAATGAAATATAAGAACTGTAAGATAAAAAGAAGTACTTTACTCTTATCATGAAAATCACCTTTCATTAAGACTGACTCAGTAAAAGTTTTGTATATTCACAGACACATCTTTAGTAAAAATATGCTATTAAAAATCAGATTTATAATATTTCCTAAAATGTTTTGTTAATATATGTTGTACATAAAGTATTATTGTATGTAAAGTTTCATGATTACAAGGTCAATGTGAGTGAGCCACACTTCGATCCAGATTTCAGAGTTAAAGAATTAGTGATAAGTTTTCTATCTAACAAAAATTAGTCTTCATTTACAGGTATGGTGATAAAAAGATGTAAACACAATAAAAACTCAGGTGTCTTGGTAAAAAGTTTTTAAAATACCTTGTGTGTGTGTATATATATATATATATATATATATTACTTTAAAGTTTTCTTATTAATATCATGTCAAGGAAGAAAATATAGTACAAAATCAAACTTAATCTAATCTTACATCTTTACATTAAAAACTGAAACTTATTAGAGAATTCATTCTCAGTAGCTGAAACATTAGAAAAAAAATTAATATCCAAAGTAAAAAAAAAAAAAAGACGTGCAAACCACCGGTGTCAACAGTCTGCAAACCACCTGGTGTCAACAGTCTCGGATACTTATTGTGTTTCAACATACTTTTCTGAAAGTGATCCCACAGTTTATCAGTTACAGAAATTTAAGTTTATAACAGAAAACGTTTTGACATCTATTTTGCTAAAACTTATCATTACCTGAATAATAAACAAAAAGCATTTTCATCACTGCATGAAGATTCAAGTTATTCACTCTCTTTTTTCTTCTTTTTCTTCTTCTTCTTTTCCACAACAGTACTACATTCTAAAATATTAAAAAAATCTGAATTAATTTACATAAAACTAGTTGGCAGGTTGACCAATTTTTATGAATGATAATAAAGTTAATTAAAAATAATAATAAATACAAATAACCAGCATTAAAATTAAAATAATAATGCTGTGTTATTAATTCTTACCCTTAGTCAATTTGTAAATGATATAAATAAAAACTGACAATAACTATATTTGAATTGTAGATATATATATATATATATATATATATATATATATAGTACATGATCAGCGAGGCATAAGAAATTACTACTACTAGAAACAATCGACGACGGTACCTTCCAACTGAACGTCGTT